GTCTAAAAATTGTGTCAATTAAGACACATCAATATTAATATCTTTTTTCATTTACGTGCATGAGTACTTTAGTGTTCTCTCATTAATACCATAAAGAGGCAATTCTATCATAGTTAATCATGCACATACAAGCAGTCAATATAAACATATCATTTATGTGTTCATCGCATTCAATTTAACATATTATATAACGCATACACCAATGCATGATAGTAAATAACAACAAACATTCATAATAATATGATCGATAAAGAAAAGAATATCTCAATCAGAATAAAATATATTCAAGTGTCATTAACTAAAAAATTGTTGAGAAGAAAAAAATTATTACTATATATTAAAAGTACGAGTACTTACCTCGATGTCAGTTAATTTGTTATTTGATTTGCCTTGAATTTATCTTCACCTCGATTCTTTTTAAATTTAAGTCTATAAAAATGATTAATAAAATTTAATTTTTTATTTAAAATATTTACTTTATATCATTTAAGTTTAAAGTTTTTTTTTTTTTTTATTATTATACCTTATATAATCCTAAATATATATTATAAGTATAAAATTCTTATCAAATATTTTAATTAAACTTATTAAAACTCACCTTAACCTTTTCGATCGAAGCCTTAATTGTGTGCAGACATTTCTTCTTGCGATCGAATCACTCTCTCCTTCCCTGCATTCAGCTCCCCCCGCATGAGTTTGGACGTCGACGCTTACCTCCTTCGTATGGAAGAAGCGCGTGCGCACCCGGAAGAGCTTCTTCACACAATACCGATGCCGACTCTTCGTATGGAAGAAGCGCGTGCGCACCCGGAAGAGCTTCTTCACACATTACCGACGCCGACTCTTCCTCTATTGCTCGACACCAATGTCGATACTTCCTCGTCACCGGCTAGGACGTCTCCCGCATCATTCTCCTATCCTTCGCACGCCACTTGACTCCCAGTTAAATGATCTCTACTAGGCCACGTCATTTGATAGGCAAACTCATAGTGTAGGCTTCCGATCTCCTTATTAAAACTCACCTTAACCTTTTTGATTTTCTGAATGTTTCAATTTTCTATTAAAACTCACCTTAACCTTATTAAAACTCGTTTCAATTTTCTGAATGTTTGACTCATCTCCAATTTCTTCAACTATCCAACCCTCTCGATTCATCACCCTTTCGATCGACTCCTCACTTCCACTTCTTCAGTTTTCTCATTTTCTCTCCCCCGATTATAGAAACGGGACATTACACCCTCCATACACAACAACTAGAAAGGATTTTAAAAGAAGAAATTAAACTACAAAGCATCATTACTTTTTCTCTTCCCATCTATTTCTCATCTCTAAGAAACGAGCTTATCATTTCCCTCAGCTGAGATCTTCCTTGAGCTACCAACCACCTCCTTTACGCCTCAATCCTCATTCCCTGAGGCTAACTTGAGCATACCAAATTTATTGAGCTTCCGCTAAATTAAAGCCAATAGAGGAATTAATGCCAAATTTATTGAGCTTCCGCTAAATTAAAGCCAATGGAGGAATTAATGTACGCAGCCTTATCCCTACATTTATAAAGAGTGTGTTTCCATTATTCGGACGTGAGACCTTCAAAATACACCAAGGCACATAAGCGCTGCTCAAAATACACCTATACTCTTCCCTAAACTGTCTCACGAAAAAGCCATTCTACATGAGCCAAAGTAGAAAGCCCGTGATGAGAGATTCACATCATGTTTCGGTCAATTAAGCCCAGAAATGGATTTAAGATGCATCCACAATTATTGTAATTTTCAACATTTCCAACATTGAGCAGTTTCATTTTATTCCTCCAGCACCAAAAACTTGACTCCAAATTCAGTAAAATCCATCTTCTCCTGCATCAAATTGGCATGGTTTCCGACTAATGTAAAGTAATAGCATGAAAATTTTCACTAGTAAATGATGGTCAAGTTCAAACCTTTTCTGCTGCAATGACAACAGACGCCACCTTCTCCTTGTCAAAATTTTGAAGTCCGGAAATGATCTGAAGATAAGAAGACCCAAAATATAAGAGCCGAGAAGCTTAAAAGAGGCCAAAGGAATTACCTTTAAAGCTTTTCTATCAATAAAGCTTCTGAGGACTGCTTCCTTTGCCGCAGACAGAGATGCCCTGGTAGCCGGAGCAATGGATTTTGGTTTCTTCGCCTTGTGGCGGCTGCTCAACGGCGGGAAGATGCGGAGAAGAGGGTTAAGTTTTCGCAGCTGACTTGAAAACTCGCCACTGATACAATGGTTGGGAACTGAAAAAGAACCCAGCACCGCTCCATAAGCCATTCTAACGTATTGCTGCGACCTGCAAGTGCTTCAGAATATGGAAGCCAGAAGAGATAAGGTGCTCCGCATTGGCTATTACTTCGTCGAACCTTTTTTTCTGCGTTTAATTATTCATCAGAATTATAACTGATGCTATCAGTATTTTTATCAAATTATATACAAGTCTCATCCCATTTTTTTTAAATCCACAATCTATTTTGAGTATACCATAAATTTAACCTTTCTTTTGGATGATAACAAATAATTCAATGATTTAAGTTCTCAATTACTCTTAGCAATGGAAAAAAACACTGCTTAGGTGATTCCACTTCTGTTTTTGAATTCATTTTTGTTTGCAGATATAAAATAAATAAAAAAACTGGTGGCCAAAAATAAAAATTAATCAAGTTTACTCATCTATATGACAAGAAAATATTTGCATACTAAGAGATGTGTGTGTCGGGAGTTATTCAGAGGGTATAAAGGGGTTATATTCGTGTTATACTCCCTTTAGCTTCCCTATAGCCTACTTGTAACCTCTCTATAACCTACAAATAAATTCCGTATTATGTAATTCCAGTATAGGAAAGTTACACAGAGATTACAGGAGATTATAAAGCAGATATAACCTGCCCGTACCCTCTGAATAACCCTCCCTGTATAAAGCAGATATAACCCGCCATAACCTGTGAATAACCCCCCATGTAAATTGTATTTGAGCATTAACTGATCCATCATGGGAACTCTTAATAATTTTCAGGTTAAGAAATAATTTAAATTGCTTCAAATAAATTTGAATCCCACAACAGAGATTGAAAGAATAAGAGAATGGGGAGGATATATTACATGTAAAAGATATAATACAGATAGGAGAATCAGCAGAAACCTTCTTTCACAACAAGAGAATCGAGAAGATCGCCTTCAATGTCCCGAAAGAAATGAAAATTACACAAACACAAAAAGGAACCCTATATTTTCTTATTTTCATGAAATAAATAAATAAATAATAGATTGCTTTCTCGGAAATTGCAAGGAGGTAGATGGATCAGACATGGCAGCCGCAGAAAATATAAAAGAAGCAGAGAGCGGAGAGGAGGATTAGGGCTTCCAGAACGTAGAGGATGCGAAAGACGAGCTCGTTGAGGAGAGCGAATCGGAGCTGCGAGAGACGATTCCACCTCCAAGATGATGAGAGTACCGATGATGGCGGAGGCGATGGGATCGACGGCGGAGACTCCATTTCTGGATGGATTCACTCTCTCTCTCTCTCTATCCTTCGGTTAGATTGGGAGGGGAGGAGAGAGTTGATAGTGTAGGAGACGACCAGACGACTATTTTAAGGGGGAGGGAAGGAGCAAGGCTGCCTTGAAATCGACGCCTGTAAAGCGCGGAAGCTGGCTGATTTGAGAGTTGTGAGCTTTTTAAATATTTGATTTTTTTCTGTTAATTAGCTAGCATGCTCTCTCCTTTTCCTCCCTTCCGTGCCGCCAGATGATTTATAGCTGGAGAATATGCATAAGCGGAATGAGAGAGAACTTACGTCTTTCTTTAAATTGGGGATCTTTGATTTATTATATTTTAAAATAAATAATTAAATAAAGCTTAACTATATTTTATAATATATTAAAAAAAATGATATATATATATATATAGAGAGAGAGAACACTTAAAACATTCATATTTACATACATCAGACGTAAATTTACCTAGTTACATATAAAACACCTAAAATCAATTAAGCATATCAAAATTAGCACTTCGTCACTAAGGGTCCGTTTGGGGCAGCTTATAAGTGCGGGCGGCGTACCGTTTGGTTCGCGCGTTTCGTCAGCTTATCTGAAACTGCGTTTAGGTTTTTACACTAAACGCAGACCGTCCTCTGCGGCCGGCCCGCGGGTCGCGTTTTAGGATAAGCAGCTTATCCTGAACGTACAAGCTGCCCCCAAACAAACCCTAAGTCATATCGCATATAGTGAACCAATTGAAATCATCTCTACCCAAAAGTGTATATAAGTGGACTCCACTTTTTATTAAGAAAAATAAATAAATATGTGATTGGAGCCCGTACTCAGCTCTGCGTACGGACTCCGTACGTAACTTTTTCTTCATACTAACGCCTCAAGTCATTGCAAGTCACCTCTTCTTTCCAATTGTTCTTACCTCTCATCGCCGAGCAGATCTCATTTTCGTAAGAAGATCTGATTGTAGTTAGAAATGTCAATATTTCATCATTCTTGTTTTATCTACTTAGTGTATTCTCTCTTAATTCATTATCCATAACAGTACATGGATATATAAATGCAAAAGGAAGTCTCTAGAGGGATCAAGTGGTCACAAGTTGGTTACATTGTAATATTAGAAGATAGTGGAAGATAACACATGATATGGTTGTTACCTTCCCTCAAACTCGCAATCTGGATCTGGATCAATGATTATGAGTTTGCGACGAAGCTTGAAGAAGGATAACTGAGTTGGTTTTGGTTGTCTTGTGAAAGAAGGTATTGTTTGTGGTGTTAAGAGATGTATTCTCCACCTCTATTGGAGGTTAGAGTTTTAATATTCTTGTTGAAGTTATTTTGAATAAATTTGTGAAGGGTTATTATAATTGTTGTAGTTTCTGAATTGGCACACATAAGGAAAATCCAAGAGTATCCTATGTAGTCATCAATTAAAAATATAGTACTTGTAACCTTGTAAAAATGTGGTTGGTGCAGAATCATATACATCAGAATGAAGCATAGTAAAGGGTGTTTTTGATCTAGAAGTAGATTAGGGAAAGGTAGTTGATAACATTTAGATGAAATACATTAATTACAAGGAAAATTCATAGTAAATTTGACTACATTTTTATTAAGTTTGGAGATGTGAGTTATGACTTATGGATGAGCATGTCCCAAGCGTCGGAGCCAAAGTTAAGGTGGAATGGAGATTTTATGGATAATGGAGAGAGATTTGATAGGTTAAAGACCTTTTTAAGATGGTTATTGAAAAATTTGTTCATTTGTCCTCTGATCCTTAATAAAAAAAACCATATTTAGTGAAAATTATAATGCGATCATTAATAGAAGTAAGCATATAGATAGACAAGAGGCTGTGAGCGAGATTTGGTGTGTAGAGGAAATTTCGTAGAATGAGCTTACTTTGAGGTGTAGGAAGTAACCCTTGACTTGTGTAGGTAATATGATGATTGGAGCCATCACCAATTGATATGGTGTCATTCCCTAGATACGGGATAGGCTGTTGCAGGTTCATCAAGGTGGATGTGACGAGTGATGTAGCTCCACTATCTAGTATCCATTCTTCTGGTCCTGTGGTGGTTAGGCCAGCACATTATAGTAGTGTGTCCAACTTTGCCACAAATTTGACATGCATTTTCTGAGGTGTTAAAAGAAATGTTCCAGCCTCCCATAGCAGGTTAAAGGTTAACATAGTTGCATCTGCATGACTGCCTCTATCGTTCAGACCGCGCCCTCTAAAGTGCAATGGTAAATACATTGAGTTCTTTGGCTTGATTGGCAGCAATATTTGTCTCTTCGCTGCACAATAGGGAGTAGAGTTCATCGAGGTGGATGGGATCTGACCTTGTTCAGAAGGCTATCTTGAATAATTGATACTTTGAGGGTAAACCATTGAGGGTGTGCAAAATAATGTCCTCTGTATCTATATGTCCTCCAACAATAGCTATATTGTCCACTATGGACATGATGTTGAGTAGGTATTGAGTCATGGGGAGATCCTTCACTGAGATGCTATGTTGAGTGTTTGTTAGTTCAAGGACTCTAAATCGATTTGTTGTTTGAGGGCGTTTGGCAAGTATGCTCCAAATCTCCGCTGATGATTCTAGGTTGAGAATGCAGGGAATGGTAGATGAGGAAATCATTGAGTATATAGTGGCGGATAGATTTTGATCAATCAACTGTCGTTGAAGTAAATCATGATTTGTGTAGAGATTACAGTCTGGATGTTGAAGTTGTCTAGGATCATAGATTTCATTACCTACTAAGAAGCCATCAAAATTGTTGATTTTAAACAACTTCTTTATTTGTGATATCCATGTTGGATAATTGTCACTTGATAGTTGAATGTGAGTAATGATTTGTACAGTTGACATTAGGAATTTAAGGGTTGAGGCAATTGCTATGTCATTCCTATAGGATGATTGTGATGCCTCCAATCTGCTGGAAGATGAGTTTGTGGTTTGGGACATAATTGTAGAAAACAGAGATAAAGCTTGATTAACCAGCTGAAGAGTTTGACTGAAAAGATTGGTGGCACTCAAATCCTGCATATTCCAGACGCAATGTTAATGGAGATGCTGGCCCTATGAAGCTTGTTTTCCTATGAAGCAGAGCTGTGCAAGATCGTCACACTCAACAAAGAACTCTGATACCATGTGACGCTACAGTAAATGGTAACAAATGCAGAGAAGAACAATACCTGTAATTGTTAGTGAAAAGAACAAGTAAGAAGATGAAGAGATTGGAGAATAAGTGGTCCCAAGTTGCTTACAAAGTAATAATATAAGAGATTGGAGAATAACACCTGATATGATTGTTACTCATCTCCATAAGAATCTATGGTTATAGTTAGAAATGTCAATATTTCATCATTCTTGTTTTATCTGATTAACAGTCAGAAATGTATATATTTCACCATTCTTGTTTTTCGCTACTTCCTTCCACCTTTTTGGGCAATAATATTAATGGTATGTCTAAACATCAAATCTTCAGGCAGCAAAAAATACCATCCATATCACCTCTAATCCTCTCCTCTCCACTAAGAGACAGAGAGAGAGGGAGAGAATAATGGAAGCCAACACTTAAGAATATTTCACTGGAGAAAACCATGGTTGAAAGAGAGCTGTGATATTTTTCATGAGATGATTAACAGAGAATACAATGGAGTGTTATTTTTGTATTTATTAGAGGAATTATGATGCTTTATAATAAATAAATTAGTTCATGGGTGATATATGTAAATAGGAATGTTTTGAGTGTGATGTACGTAAAAACCCCTTTATATATTTATTATAAATATGTGCAAATTATTTTACAAATATTTTTAAAATTTTTGAGTTGATATTTTAACTATTTTTTCTTTTATTTATATCAATAAATTTTAAAGTAAAACGCCAGAGAGTATCGGAGAGGCGAGCGTAAATGAGTGATGTTATAATTATGATAGCCAAAAATGTTCATCGTTTAAGAACAATGCATGTTCAACTAGTTAAGGAAGAGGATTACATTAGAACATATATTTTGAGCTAGATACTTGATCAAGTAGAGCAAATAGACTCCTTATTTAATTGTGTTGAATCAT